TTTTCAACTCACACGCATCAAATGCTAGCGATCTGGTGACATTTATAGGAAGCGGCCCCTATATAGGACAATGACTGTGACACAGACCCTCTTATGCCAGGACTAGACAGACAGACATCTTGAAGACGTTCCTCTCTGTTACTTGTCTGTACTACAGTTCTGGGATTGAAAAATTTTAAAAAAAAATTATACTAATCCTTTTATGACCGGTGGTATTTATACGTACAATTATTAACTCTCAATTATATATTTGCGGGCTTCGTATAATTCTCAGTGCTAACAGCGATTAATTCCTTAAATAACACTAACCAGCTGATTTTCTGTAATGGTAAAGTGTGGTGTTTTCTTCGCGGTACGGACTGAATCCTTAAATATTATTCAGACGAGCTTTTTTGTTTCATAGGGTTAAAACACGCGCCCTTAACGTAATTAATTTTGGGAATTCAGAAATATTAGACCTACAAGCACCTCGGTTATAGTGCCATTAAGCCAAAAATCATTAATGCGATGAAATTAAAGATGGCGGGTTATTGTAAACAAAGTAATGAGCCTTCTTACGTTTCCGCGGAACTTACAGACAAGATGAGTGACTATCAGCTTGTCAAGGACCGCTCAGCCTACTCGTGTGTCACAGATGTATCAGTCCACCGACTGCAACGTCTCTTTCGGTGTGGGAGGTGGTGTGGGGGGGTAATCCTATTGAACCTGTGAAAGGTAATCCCACGACGCAACAGTGCAGGTATCCAAATACCAGGGGCTCTTATCTTTTTAAACATGGTAATGTATTGAACTCATCCACTTTCATTATAGTGTTTTTTAACGTTACATTTTGGTCGTGAAATCCCTGGCGGGGATTCTATAGAGATTATGGTATTAAAAGGAATTTGGCACAAAGGGGCATTCTATCTAATGTTTTCTTGTTTGAAGGTTCTATAGGTAATATTATGGGCTTATTCTGTTGGGTAAATATACATTTGGGTCACATAAAGGTCTTTAGCTGGCTCACTGGAGATTGCTACACGCTACTTGTAGTCCATCAGGACTATATTATGGTCGAAGTTTCGGAAGAATTTAATTCGGGTAATTGGTAAATTCATAATTAAATAATCCTCTTCCATAAATACGATGTTATAGGTATATTTGAGCGTCACGCTGTGGTTTTAATAAAACTAACTCTCGCCAAATATTACGTATCTCAATACAAGAAGTGGTCTCACAGCCTTTACAAGTTCATATTTACCAATTCTGGACGACGTGTGTCAAAATCCAGGTTCATTTTCCAGGCCTTCGACAGTAAATGAACAAACATCTGATCACACGGATTGTAATGAGGACTCCCGGTACGAAATTTAATATAAATCTGTTCACGTTTCTCGGACACGTCCCTACACAAAAACAAGTGTGAAGTGTTGCTTTCTTTGCGGTACGGACTGAATTTTTTAAATATAACTTAGACGAGCGTTGTCTTAAAAAGGTTAGCTATTAAAATACATGTTATAAATGTTAATATACATTGAGCCTATACGTAAATTATTGTCCGTATGAAATTGTATTAGAGACAACACGTTTACAGATTTTAATTACAAATTACTAAGAACAAACAAAATATAAAATGGGGAATTATGACAGGTGGAAGGAAATGTTACTGGCTTTGCCCTGCTTAAGAATCTGTAGAGCTTGTAAATGCCATGTTTCAACAGGAGGGACGCGAGCGATCAATATCACACCAGCAGGGGCGACATCTCCCGGGCACGTATCTCGCCCGCCCACCAAATTACAGGGCGGCAGCACAGCTAGGGACATTCAGCTAGCACAAGAACCATTTGCCGGACTGAAATATTGAATCGAAAATTCCACCTCTCTAATCCATATGAAAATATTGCACCATTACAACGATCAGGTGGTTAACGCTGTTTAAAGAAATAATCCTTGTGTACTCTGTGAATCAAATGAATACCATGAATATATAACGCAGAGTTATTGGTCGCTGCTGCACATAGAAACCACTGGGCTTTAAAGGGTTACGAGATTTTACTTTTCGTCTTTTTGGTGTTGTATTAACATTGGAATAAAAAATGTTTTACTTACGTTTCTAATTAACTACGTACCAAAAGTGACCAACTCTATGGAGTATTAGTCCTTGAGAAGTTGATAGTCGGTAAATACCTTGTCCGATTTGAAGTTTTCACGGGGGTGAGTCCAAAGAAGGCCGCCTTCTGGGTTGTAGCGCCGTGTAGTCTGATAGAAGTTTACCGACTCTTCAGATGTATTGATCATCGCCCTGATGATGAAGGCAGCAAGGACCTCTAACACATCGGTAAACTTCTATCAGACTACACGGCGCTACAATCCAGAAGACAGCAATCTTCCGTAAATCCAGTGCATTTCTTGGAATCCGAAGGTTCATAACCGTTTTCGCAAGAGCCTGTCCTCAGCCAGATGAATCCAATCTTAATCCTCGAATACTTGTGATAAATTATGTTTAATTCCGCGCATTTTGGACAGTAAACGACAAACATGATGGGATACATTGGAAATACGAGGCATCGGAGTTCCCTCCTCTTCAACTTCGCCTCGTTTTCCAGAAACCTCGGGAGGACAAAGGCGGATTAAGGTCAGCAAATACTGAGCACGTGTTTTGTGTTTCAGTTGCGGATGTCCAGCAGCCTCCAGCATCACCCAGTGACGGCGAGGTGCCACGGAGGACCGCAGCGCGTCGGCCTTTCACTGCAAGTAGGACTCAGTATGTTACACCCCGCAACACACACTCCTAACCTAACACCGGGATTCGGACCCCGGACTTCCAGCCAGTAGCCTTGCCACTGCAGAGGTTAAATTCCTTGCCAGTCACCCCCCCCCCCTCAATAATTTTTAATAAAATAGCACGCGGAGTGATCATACATAGACCTCACTCTATCGATTTTCTTACGTGATTAGTAGATTCATATTTGAAATAAATGAACGTCTATATCTGGAAAATGTCTATTTTACAGACTGTGTCGCAGATCCACTCTAAAGATTTTCTCAGGACTGAACCCAGACACGCTGTTAGTTTCTCATGGCTTCGTATCAAGCCTATAGTTTTAACGTTTACGAGTAATCGCAGCGAAAATTTTGAAAGCATTACCTTAACAAACAGACAAATCCCTTGTACGAACACAGTCATCGTAAAAATAAGAATTGGTCTTTCATCCCTTGCAATGCGTCGTGTGGGATTTATTTGGTTCAAGTGTTTGCTACAACTGACGAAATTCTCGCGGTAGAAGTGACTCATTCTTTGATCTGTAGGGCACACACAGCGAACGTATTGCGAGGTACGAGGCGAAGCCCTGTTACTGGGGGCTGCCGTTGATTCTGGGATTTTTAAAATGAACTGATTACTCTTCAGTGTTTACATATTCCGCTCTTCTGTTCTATTCAAATTAAAATTTGAAACTATAAATTATTTAAGACATTACAGAATCCTTAAAGGTACCTCACCCTGTCACAGGGCCCATACTTAATCAGGACACAACAACAACAACAACAAAGGCAGATATTATGGGATCATAACCCACGATTTCGATTTTCGACTGCAGAGACTGATGCCTTCGACCCAGCGGCCAATTATCAGCGTAATTTGTAGTTCGCATTTAATACCCTTAAAATGGCCCACGTGACCTTATACGCTGTGCAGAAAACAAGGCACTGGGAAAAATTTCATCACGAAGAACTTAATAATTTGTAATTCTCATCTAATATTATTACGGCGATAAAACTGAGGTAGATGAGATAGACGTTTAGCATGAATAGGGGGAGATGAAAATGCTTACAGAATTTTAGACGGAAAACTTAAAAGGAAGACGCCAGTTGGTGACAAATAGTTTGACCGTGGGGGGGGGGGGGGGGGGGGGAGGCTATAAAAATTAATCTTTAAGAGTGAGGATTTGCACTGGATGCGTATTACGATGGAGTCATTCGCTTTTCCATGGACCGGACTGCCACCAGGAAAGGATTTTGTCGGGATATCGCAGCAGCATTGTTTTCCGACATCCTGTTTGATCCCATGAAACAAATCCCAGACACACCACTGCTTTTATTCCGGGCGCCAACAAATGGAATTAAGGATACCTACAGCTTCGGGTCCTAATCGGGCGTATGTGAAGTTTGTCCTGTGGACCGTCTGATCTGCCTCCCACACATGACGTCCAGCAAGCACTCGTCTTGACGTTTAATCCCCGGAGCGCGTGCTGCTATGGGAACCGCTCGGCTGACGGTACCGGGAATCCGTCAGCATCTGCTCACGGGATGGCGGTCTCTCATCCCGGGTGACCGTCGTTCCCTGCTCACAGCCGGCGTCTTCCTAATTCTGCTTTAATTTCTCATTGTTTTTCGAAAACTTTTCCTTCTTTGAATAAAAATTTCCTTGGACATTTTCCATCGCCTAATAAATTAAAAAATATAAAACGACGTTTCGGAGATGGGGCTCTATCTCCGTCTTCAGGTACCTACTCACCAACGTCACGAGCTTTTAGATTTGACATACGTTTCCTTCTTATTATATTTGTTCTTTCGGAAGAATTAAACTCTTCAAAGTCCGGTCCAGTATAACTGTCTTCTACTACTACGTCTAGCCATGTCTCTTCTTCCTCTTGGCTGTAGTTTGCAGTCTGTTGACTTCTTTCATCTCGTAATCTTTATCTCAAAAGATGATCCATGTTCAGCACTGTCTTATATTCTTTGTTATTTCTCACAACCCGCGTTATCACTTCGAAACCAAACTTTGTAGCCTTCGTGTACATTTTTCAAAATTATTTTTACAGCATCGTAATTCCCTATTCAATGGGTAATTTGAAACCCAGGAAAACTGTGTGCTCGCATCTCAGCATAAATGAGCTTTTATCAGCAGTGTACAGTTTTACCTAATTTAAAATCTCACTTGCTCTGATTTAAAAAAAAATCGATCAGTGGCGTATGCTAATCGTGCCTCAAAGGGTCCAGTCCATAGTTAATTATTACGGGGCTCTGTCACAGATCGGATCTCTTGTCCCCTCACCCCCCAAAACGCTGGGCAAATATTCAGAGTCGTAAAAATGAATTCAAATGACAAATTACATTCTGTTAGCCATGCCAGTCGCCTTTCATATGCTTATTTGCAACACAGAGAATAATTATGGCCGGCTGTGAAATGCCTTTCATTAACACGCTTTGTAATCACATTATTGTTGTCCCAACGCGGTCGTTTGCTAAAAAACTTACGCTGTAGCTCTAAAATAATTGGATTGTGACAATGGACAGCAAAGTTTACGTACAGACACTTCTTACATTAGCGTTTTTTTTAAATCTTCCACCTGTTTTGATCGTTTTACATTCTTGACAGACTCAGAAGTATTGTTGAACATGTGGCGTGGATTACAGTGCCCATTTAATATGAACATTCTGTTAAAACTTTAGTACGCTTAAATTATCCGTCTAGTATGACGACGAAATTCTCGTTGCAATCGTGAATATAAGAGACCACTCATTAGACCCAGGCACGTGTCAGGATAATATTAAAATGAATCTCAAGGGGACACGGTGCAGAATTGATTTATTAGTCGCTGGAGAGGGACCGATGTCGCATTCTTGTGAACACGACAGTTGACATTTGCTTTTATATAAAAGGCGGGAATGACTTAGTTCATCAACTGCCAACTTTTGAAGGAATTAAAATGACGTGCGTTATAAGATAGATTGTTGGTAAACTATTTCTTATGCTGCAGATTTAATGAGCAGGCTTTCAACCGCCATGAAACTCGGTGTCTTGCAATTATGTAGTGGAATTCACGCCCCAAAACACACCAAATGTGATTGTACCGCCATGATTGAGTCTGCAGAACTTTGTTTGTTAAAGTGAGTGCACCTGGCGAAAGCCATTAAGAACAGGACAGACCTAAAAGAAAACAGTTTCAGAACTAACACGCCAAAATCGGCCTAACTACTCCGGCTACAAATGTTGGTGATTCCAAAAGGAAGTTTTGGGGGTCTCGTGTTCCGTTCGAGAGGACAAATGCTCTGAGGTGATTAAGCCAAACCCCTCTGGATGGAGCCACGTCCGTGCATGCAACTGATTAAGGTGTAAAAGGAGGTTAGGAGCAGAGCTTGATTTATTACGTCAGACTCCCCTTCAAGTTTGTACAAAGGCTCTGACATTTTCTCTCCCTGCAGACGGCAAAAGACTGAGATGTGGACAGTTGAAAGAAAGATATAGTACCGTTAATGACCAAAGAAACTGCCCTGCAGATATCTTCCAATTGCAGAAGATGAAAGATTTTAGTCGGCTGTGAAATTCCTTTGTTCTTTAATCGGATCCGACTTCACCGACTTAATTATTTTCAGCACTAATTTTCTACCTGCAGACGGGTCTAATTTTCTTTCGGGCGCTCTCGTCTTCGTGGAGTGGCAGACGCAGATCACAAATCAACAATTTTCCGAGGACTGGACGTAATTTTACTGCTAATTCCCGACAGTGCAGCGATTTCGCCCTCGCGACAACCCCGATGGCTACCGGGCGGCTTTCCCCGGAGTCATCCGTGGCCTAAAGCTGACCGACCAAGCGTTGCCATCAGTTTCCGAAGTTAAGAATTCGTGGAGCTGTACCTCCATTCCACTTGGTCACCCGACGGCTTTACTCCCGTGGAGAAAAACGCGATCCCATTGTATACAATGGTCGGATTTTGTGGCAAAGAGAAAGCTTCTTTTTTTGTAAAATATTATTCAACAACTAATACGACAATTAAACACAACTTAGTTAGTGGTTCGCTTTGCTTGACTCGTCAGAACGTGGACATAAAACAAAACCATGAATCGAGCCCAGTTGACAGCCATCTTCACCATCAATCTATGTTCTTCACTTAAAATAATGTCCAAATTTCACACCCATACAAAATAAAAGGTAAATTTACTGTTTTGTATATTTTAATCTGACAACACACGATGACGGATTTGTGACGTCATCAGATGCGGTTATGATAGGCTGTCTATCGTGAGGAGGCCGTATGTTCCTCTGAAACGTCGGCATTCGGCTTCATATCCCACAGTACCAACATCGACACGTGTTCTACAGTGGCAACCAAAAATTTAAGACCACCATGCTATTTTAGTAAACCTTTCACAGGTCTCAAAATTTTGGTTGAAAGTTTCCCATTTTTGCACTAGTAATTAAGTTCATTTACAGCTATCATTTACAAAAAAGATGAGGAAAATATGTCTTACCATTCAGAAGTTATGAATATTTTCAACATTTCAAAGTATAGGAAAATTCCAAAATATTTTAATTTTCGAATACACCTGGCCATTAAACTATAAGGAATATTTTAATAACTTTTGGTATTTTAGTTCATTGTGATGTGAGGAACTTTTACAAATAAAATTGATGTCTACAAAACAGTTGTCCTATGATTGTTCATCACATTCATTAGTTTTGGAACTTTGTAAAAAAAACATGAGAAATGTGCCACAATTTAACTCAAAAATGGGAAACTTTCAACCAAAAGTTTGAGACGTGTGGAAGACTTACTAAAATAGCATGGTGGTCTTAAATTTTTGGTTGATACTGTAGTACCGCTACGTGCCCACAGACTTACGAGAAATTCCCGAAACATTCTCACCAAAATTTTCCCTAAATCCCAGTTCCTTTAAGCCGCGGGGTTGTACACTTCTTGTAGTTAATTACTCCCTATAAAGAGTTGAGTTTTATAAAATATTTACTTGTGTCTTATTTCAGGCACCACGGAAGAAGAGCGACCTAAGTCACGGACATCACAACTAACAAGAATTTGTGTTTTAATATTATATTTCTGTTCTCCCTGTAATATGGTAGACCAATCCATTCGTTTCGTTACATCGTTCTGTACATTGATTGATTGTAATTTATGTGTATACACTTCTATAAGTATAAATAAAAGTATCTTTACAGCTTCGTGATATTTTATTAGTAGGCTGAAACAAAGAGATTAAATTCTGTGGATGTTGATATCAAGAAATGGACTGGGTTAAACTTGTAACATTTGAATACTGTAATGATCTTGGATCCGCATGTAAATGCTTCATTAATTACTATCATCTGGTCGACGAGGAATCTACTTTCATGGAAGTACATCGTTAATTTGTTACTTGCAAGTTTACTTGCTCAATTTTATCAGTCAAATCACAATAAAATATTATTATTAAATGTTAAAATATTAAAATATTATCTTACAAGTTGTTGAAAATGAAATTGGCATAAGAACATTTTGACCTGAGAAATACGAATTAATTTTCGATTGACGTTAAAAAAAGGAAATCTGCAAAATTACGCAGCCATTTTTTAGTCTGTCCGTCCGTCTGTCTTTGTGTTTTGTCACCGAAACTACTGCAACGAATTTTAACCTTTGGTACTTAAAATATTCGCCTTAGAAAACTTTTTTTCTCTGACACACTCCCAATAAAACGCTGTTATCATACCAAGACAAAAGAATGTTTAAGATGAACAAAACTCCGATTGAAATCTGGGGCTTTCATTGAAGGGATCGATATTTTATTTTCAGTCGACAGGAAGAAAGGAGATGATGTATAGGCTGTTGTTCCTTAGGCACGCGTGTCCGGTAACCATAGCAACCACACTGAAGGGTGGGTAGGTAGGTACGTACTATGGATTTTACAGTTCCGCGCCTGCGCTGAGATATGTTTTGTGATTGGCTGAAACGGTCCCTATGTCACATTCTTTTGTTTCTCCTGTGAAATATGGCTGCCATCCATTTTGGGGAGGGCAAACAGAATCGATGAAACGATAATTTGCATCCGAAAATCGGCTCTGTGATTTAAACTTGTCCCTCAGTAGCAAAATCATTAAAGTTAATAGCGAATCGGTTCGCAGACCCTGGTTGTCAACGTCGTGCTGAGAGACAGTACGTAAACTATTTTCAGACTCGGCAATGTGTTTCCTTCGAGCGGGATTAATGGACGACCCGGGCAGCCAAATATTGCGGACAGACTCAGCGGATTTTCGTGCCTAACAGCTTGCTTCAGATAGAAAGCACTGAAATTAGACATATTCATCGTGTGTCTACGTTAAACAATCAACACATTTGTTTAAAGTCAGTGACAAATCATAGAGATTATTATCCTCCCAATGGAGTCGTCTCATCCCTTCTGATTTCCAATCAAAATTTTGCAAGCATTAACTTCTCCATATTTGTGTAAATCTTGTCAGTCTAATCACAATAAAATTCCTATTAAATATTAAAATATTACTATAATTAACATTTAAATATTTAAAATATATTAAAATGATGCTCTCTATCGAATATTTCGATTTACATTAGAGCATCATCATTGTAAATATTCGATAGAGAGCATCATTTTAATATATTTTAAATATTTAAATGTTAATTGTAATAATATTTTAACATTTAATAATAATATTTTATTGTGATTTGACTGATAAAATTACTTACAAGTTGTTGAAAATGAAATTGGCATAAGAACATTTTGACCTGAGAAATACGAATTAATTTTTCTCCATGCTCGATAAATGCCCCCCCCCCTCTCATCTCCTGCTTTTTAACTCAGTCTGTGAGAAAAACCACATAAATTTATTTCGTCAAGATTTTTTTTGGAACGCGGACAGACAGCATTAAACTTCATTTTACCGGAATAACTGCACGTATAGAATTTCATTATAATCGGTTTCTCGACATTTTTTCAAGCTTTCTGGTAACATTCGCCATTGCTTATCGACTCGAGGACTCAAAAAATTACAAATCACGGCAATTTATTTAAACTTCCTGGCGATTTGTTAAATACACCTAACAGGTTAATAAAGTATTGCTAAAGAATTTTATTTGGCAAATATCAGTCATTTTCGAGATATTTAAAACATTAGTTTTAATTGTGTAATCTTTCAATATATCCGGTTTTAAATCCCGTTGTTGAGACTAACAAACTTCCAAAGTGCGTTCTTAATCGACCTGAACAGTTGCTCACAGCGACAATTTCTGCCAGATTCTGAATACATTAAACGATTTGTTTTAAATTTCGGGGAAATATTTTTAATCACACAGGGAGACGGGGCTTTACGATTCTAAAATATACCAGGCCCCCCAACACACATTTAGGTTACAATGTTTTCTGTTCGAATTTCCTTGGCTACTGATAAGTAAAACGATAGGCAACAATAAAAATATTTCAGTTTATTCGAGGGCAATGTAATTTTACTTAATCTGTTTTTGTGCCCAAATCGCTGCCTTTCCAATGCATTCTTCCAATAACTCTTGAGAAACTAAAATGTAATTTTGTAGCGCTAACTTGTTCGCCATACTGTCGAATCCTAATGTTTCTTCTTATAATCTGCAATTGTAAATACGTTACAGATAATAATAATATTATTGTTGCCTTTTTGGGAAGAAATATTCCAAGAGTTACAGACTGCAGATGTGTTATGTACTAAGTACAAAGCACCGTTCTTTCTGGGTGGCTTCCTTGAAGGCTGAGGACAAGATGACGTATTCGTGACGTCATTAAATGCATCGTTCAGCCATGGTTGGAAGGGACTAAGGGAAAAAAACCCTCGGTATTTTCCCATATCTAAGGGGACACTGCAAAAACGTTTTTGCAGTATCGAAGCTTCTGAAAAATCAAAGAGAAATGTTTCATTGCCTTGTCTGGGGTTACCCTTATGGTCTCGCGTTAGATTCGGGTGTGCGATGGCTTACACTTGACTGAACACACCGGTGTGATGTATACACACATTCTTTTAGTCGGGCGTGACGAAGCAACGATTGATTGATTTCGTACACAGTGAAACCGACGTCAAACATCAAACAAGTACCGTTCACATCAGCGTGTCCACAACGGAGGGAAAATACGTCCTCCAGGTTCGAGGGGTCTCCGAAAAGAGTTCTTAGTGTTTAATTGTCTTCAGTGCTCCTGGTTCAAATCTGCTGTTGACAATAGTAACCGGAAATGACTGAGCTACACTGCAGTGTCATTGATAATTTTATTATGCGACTCTGTTTCAAATGGAGGTTATAGAGGACAAACGTTCAATAACTTCGCTACGCGTTCCCTCAGAACAACTGTTATACACAAATGAACAAAATTGCAATACAAAAGTTCCTTATTCTGACAGGAGCCTTAAAATATCTTTCGTGAAAGTTTTGTTAACACCTAGAACGAGCCTCGCTGTTAGCACACCAACCAATCCCCAATCTGATGGACCACCCTTTTCGGCTGTCTGTTTCAGGTTCCATTTACTCAGTAGCTGGGTGACTATCAGCTTCTAAAGGGGGACTCATCTTCATGTAATCAATAATTTATTCTTATTTAAGTTGAGATATCTTGAACAATTCGACAGGGACAGTTCTGTGCATAATAAAGCAGAATCCAACTTACTTAATAAAGAATAATTGCAGACAATCACTTTCCATGTGACGAGCTGTCACGTATAATCCGAGGTAATGATACAGCATTATAAACATGTTCTCGTGTTATCTCGTTCTCAGATTTCGTTTCAAAGCCGAAGCCTGGCATACACAAATTTCAATTTGTCCCTTACTAAAATTATGGGTTAGCTGGTTGACCCACCGTCTGATATAATACCATTCTGTACAGAAGACAGATCCTATATACCAATAGGCTTAAACATCGAGGTTCTCTTTCCAAAGGCTCCTGTCAATGTTGACAAGTTTCTATTGCCAATGCTGGCACCAGTAACTAAATTCACAATGAAAAGTGTTCTCTTTTAACAGCCTTCTCGCACCATTCATTTTAAAAAATGAAAAGTTAACTTCGAGCGTGAAGGAACTAAGTAACAGACTGCCTGAAAAATAAGTGGTACCTGTTTGTACTACCAGACGCAAAAATAAATAAATCTTCATCACGCGCAGAAAAGTGTATTAATGGATTTTGTATTGACATGTCTTCAGAATTAACAGCGATCATTTCCGTAAACAGCGTTAACCAGTTGATCTTTGTAATGGTGAAGTGTAGTGTTTTCTTCGCGGTACGGACTGAATTCTTATATATTATTTAGACGAGCTTCGGCTTACTAGTGATATTTACGTACAGAACTCGATTAAATCAGAGCTTAAACACCGTTTACGAGTTAGTATTTGTAATGGTAAAGTGCTGTGTTTTCTTCGCGGTACGGACTGAATGATTAATTAACTTTTTGTATTAACTTCGGGATTTAGATGTTTTAAAGTTGCAGGCCGGATTTAATTTCAGTCTTTTCTGTTCACGCATGTATTCAAATCATACATTTAAATGGACCTTAAATTAAACTTTGGCAAATCGTAGTTACATGAACAGCATAATATTTAAAGAAATTTGAATTAAACAAAACTCTACAATTTGACTGGGTAGGCCCTAATGCGGTATTTTTGGACATTTCCCTGCCTTCCAAACCTTGAAGGTAGAATTTCCGGCTGATTTGGTGGGGGATTTGACCTCTGATTTTTGGCATGTTCTCCATTTTGAGTCCGCGGACCACGTGTTGCAAAATACAGAGTTCGCGAATTTGAAGGTTTGTGTTTCAGAAGTGTCTTAGGCCGTTTATCCGTTTCTGAAATCAGAGCTGCAGTCAGTATCTGCGCTGTTGAACCTACCTAATTGAGTTTCGTGGGTCAATTGTAATACCGAGGTGACGGGATACAGGGAGGATCGGGGAAGATTATCCCGGAGACCAAGCCGTAGGTAATCCGAACCCTGATACTCGACCCGTCTCTACGCCAGCAAAGGAATAAGGCGTTTGTGTTAAAACATGGTGACAAAGATAGGTAATAACAGATCAACACAAATCCACCTTTACACGAATGACGAGGAGGGAATTGGGGGGGGGGGGGGTTTATAATATATGTCATTGCTCTCAGAATGTTTTGGTGACATGTCACAGGCACCGCTGTGTTGTAACAAGACGGGTTATGACAGCAATGAATAAAT